TTTAGCTGTTCTTTGTCATGGAAGTATTTCACTTCTCCATCAAACTTGAAAGAGAGTTTTTCAGGGTATAGTAGTCTGGGCTGGAATTTGTTTTCATGGAGGACATGAAGTACTCTGCTCCATGCTCTTCTTGCCTGCATGGTTTTTGCAGAGAAGTTGGCCGCAATTCTTGATGGGTTTTCCTTTGAATGTAATCTTCTTTTTTTCTCTAGCGGCTTTCAGTAGATTATTCTTGTGCTAAATATCTGGGATTTTGACTATTATATGTCTCGGTGTGTTTTTCTTTGGGTTGAGGTTCCTTGGCGTTGTGTATGCTTCATTTACCTGAGTGTCAGATTGTTTCCTCATATTTGGGAAGTTTTCTGCTATTACTTCTGCCCATATGTTTTTAATGTCATTTGTGTTGACTCCTTCTTTCTCATTGATGCCTCTTAGTCTCACATTGTTCATCTTTGCATCATGTTGCAGGTGATGGATTATTCTTTCCTGCATCCTCGTTGTTTTTAAGAGATCCTTTCTTACCTTTTCACTAGCTACACCAGCATCTTCAAGACCTGAAACTCTGTCTTCACATTCACTTAAACGGTTTTGCAAGCTTGTGATTGAGATTTTAATTTCCTCTATAGCTCTCTGAGTCTGCTTCATACGATCTATTTCTTTCCTGCATTGCTCATTCAAGGAATCTGCCATTTTTCTAATCTCCTGTATTTTTTTTTCAATATCTTCTTTAGAAGCAGTTATAAATTCTTTTACTGCAGTGTTTTTTTCAGATTGGGTTTCCTCCCTATGTTTCTGTAGTTGCTTCTTTACTTCAGATGCTATGAGTTCTGCGAGTTCTTTTTTTATTTCAGAAAAGAATTGCACTCTGATTTCCTCTATATCTTTCTGCTATTGCTTATTTACTAACGACGCTATTAATTCATGCATTTGACCCGAGCTAGTGTCCTCCACACTTGTTCTGGGTGGGCACTGGGTTTCTTCCATATGTTTCTGCATTTGATTCTTTAGTGCAGTTGTTATTAGTTCAGGGCTTTCTTTTTTTATTTCCAACCTGTGGTCTTCTATATCTTTCTGCAGCTGTTTCTTTATTTCAGAAGCCGTTGATTCATTGCTCTCAGCTGTGTGATTTCCAGTTTGTTCTGTGTTTGTGTCCTCTGCACTTGTTACGGGTGGGTTTGGGTTCTGAGGTTGCATTTTTTTTTTAAATTTTATTTATTTATTTGAGAGAGAGAGAGAGAGAGTGAGAGTGTGTGGTGTGTGTGGCCAGCTCAGCCCACCAGGGGGCGGGGCTGGCTGGCATGTGGTGCTGGGGGATCGAACCGCGGTCCCTGATGCTTTGCTAAGCTTGTTC